ACACACACACACACACATACACACACATTTCACACCCATAGGGCTGTGACCCTGAGGGTTCTCATTTCTTTTTATGGCCCCCTAAATCACGGAAATGGTGATGCCTAATTCACACAAATTCCCGTACAACGGGATGCACAACCTCCATCATACAAAATTTCAAGATTTTTGTACGCACGAGATGCACTAGGGGTGTGGGTGCTATAGGATGTGAAGTTGCCTCGGAGTTTTTAGAAAAAAGATGTTCCAATTGATTGCGGGTACATTACAGGAAAGCATCACTCTCCCTGAGAGACTCATTCAGTTGGGGGATTAATACTAATTTAATGGTATTTAATACTAATTTTACATCATTGAAATCCAGAACAAGGTTTCTTCTTAAGCAGCTGGTGGTTCCAAGCCTCTTTTTCCCAATGTGTTATGATCCTGGCCGATTTCTAGATACACATTTATCAGATAGTACAATGCCGCCCACTTGCAAAAATGAAATGAATGAACTTGAGAGGAGAGAGAGGGTTAGAAGAAGAAGAAGATGATGTACACCAGCATAGACAAATGATGAAGCTCTTCTTCTTCGCCAAACTCTCTCTTCCTCCTTATCTCCTCCTCTCTTATTCACACAAGAAATAATAGTACAATGTTGAATGGGTGAACCAGAATCAATGTCCGAATCCGTCTTCTACTGCGGTATCACATGAGGTCCACCATAGCCATGGCCACCCTTCTTCTTCCTTGCCCAAGGCCGAGGCTATGGCGGACTACTTGGCCCTTGCTCTGATGCCCAAAGGACAACCCAAAGCAGCTATGCCTGCTCAAGCTCAGGCCGCCATGCCTGACTCTGCCTCGAAGCTTCCTGGTGTAGCTCTACCCCGTTGGGCCCTTACTGCTGCAGCGCCCACCAAGGTGATGAAGATGGCTGCCACCATAGCCAGGTAAGTACCTCTGGCGCTCCTCCCCCTTCCTGTCCTTCCTCCTCTGAGTCCTTGCTTCTTCCCCAGCTGCGCTGCTCTAGCCAGCGCTCCAACCAGTGTGTCGCCAAACTTGCACACCGACAATGAGGCTGGGCTCTTCGCCCGGCCTGGAGATATAGCGGCCTCCTTGCCTCTTGGGCGGTGACTTCCGGACCGCTCGGCCTTCCAAGCAACCGGTACCTCCTCCCTTTCGGAGGGAAACATCATTGAGGACTCTGATATTGCCCGTACAGGCCCTAGACTCAGACTGGTTCCCGCCAAGACCTAACCTACAACTACAAGGCCTCTAAAAAGTGCCACTTTTGTCTTCTTCTGCTCGGCCTCCAGTACCCGGCACATCTACTGCTTCAGGGTGTGGTACCGGCCTACCTGCTACTTGAGTGTTTCCCCGCTGCTTCAAGTGTTGCGGGCCTCTTACCCCGCCACTTGAGTGTTTCCCTATTGCAATCCTCAATGCCACAGCCACTGTAAGTACCGGGCCTGAGGGCCCAACGAACGAACAAGTGCCCTTGCCGGCCACACACACACTCAAGCCAACCAGCACTCAGATAGACATGCAGTCCAGCAAGCATGCACACACACAGACTTAGAGAACTTAGTAGCAAGCGGGAAACTCAGCAAGGCATTCAGTCTATGAGCAAAACTCAGAAATCAGCCGTGTTTCAGTCCATGTTTGGTCGGGTCATCACACTACTCCCCCCTCAAGAGTGAGGTCCCTTCGAGTGAGTAACTCATTCTGAGTCCCCGACAAACGCATCGTAGGCAAACAAGGCAAAGAGATTTCGAGAATACTCTGCCGCAGTGAGCTTGGCAGAGATTTTAGGTGCATCATTAGAGGCAATTTGTCGCTTGTAGGCTTTAACAACGCACGGTGCATTGCGCAGCAGTTCCTGCTTGGAAATCCAGTATAGATCATCCAACGGGTGATACATGAAATGAACCTGGTACCGTTTGTTGCGTCCCTTCCCTACGTGCTGTTTAATTTTGTCTATCTCATGTCCGCCATTGATTGCACGAGGAATCATGTCTTCACGGTAATCAAACGATTTAGCATCACGGTGGAGATATAGTTTTGATGCATGAAAAACGGGATATGTGTGCAGATGAGGTGGCACAGCAACTTCGTATGACGGGCCAAAGCTATCTTTGCCAATCACATCCATAACTTCCCACGGACCGTAGTAGAGTGGGAGAAGTTTGCGTGAGACTCCCTCTTCTTATGAAAATTCAGACATCTTGACCCTGACATAACTTTCCATCTTAATATCTGAAGGTCGACGTTTTTGCATGATGGATCATGGCGTGTTGTCACTTGGTCGTTGCTGCAATGACAACTTTGAGCAAGCGATCGTAGTTGGCCCTGAAGCTAGGCCTGCTGGGTGTTAAACCAGCTTGCGGCTTAGGGAATAGGTAGGAGAGCGGATTACGAATCTGCCAACCGTAATGCAACTTGTTTGGTGTCATGCCGGTGGTGGAATGAATGGAGTTGTTGTACAACCCCTTGACGGAATACAACTCTTCATCCCATGTTTCCTGATCCGGAATGATTAAAGCGCGGAGAAGTTGGAGCACAGTGTTACATCTTCGACGCACACGGGTCCTACCGGACCCGACTTAGGGCCGGAGGGACACATCAGGGCCTAAAGGCCCGACCTTGGGGTAGTACAGGCCCTCAGGGCCTGATCTTGGACCAGTACCCGACGGGCAGGCCCAAACGGCATTATCGTTTGGGCCTGGCGGCGCTCTTGAGGCTGTCGGCCGCCGGTTGGGGCTGAACCGTCCATCTGGACGGTTCAGGGCATGGCCAGGCCTCGAAGCATTGAGGCCGGCCTCTGCCCCACCGGTATAAAGTACCGGTACAGCCTCACTTGGAGGCATCGACCTACTGGCACTATACCGGTATGGTATGGTCAGCGCCAGAGCGCTGTTTTGATGCGCTAAGTTTAGCGCAGGAGCGAGCAAGGAGCAGCAGCGGCAGCGCAGCATTAGCGCAGCGGCAAGCGGAGCAGCAGCAGGGCGACTGAGCGAGCAAGGAGCAGCAGCGGCAGCGCAGCATTAGCGCAGCGGCAAGCGGAGCAGCAGCAGGGCGACTGAGCCAGCACGGCGGCCATTGCCGCCTGAGGTACCTGGGAGCGGAGGACCTCTCCTCCCTCCCTCGTCAGCTCTCTCTCTCTCCCTCTCTCTCCTCCTCCTCCTCCTCCTTCTTCTTCTTCTTCTTCTTCTTCTTCTTCTTCTTCTTCTTCAGACTCGAGACTTATACTAGTTGGACAGAGATCAGAGTTGGATTTCGGTGATATGAGACTGTGGTACTTACCTGATTGGAGACTTGGAGATTGTTGAGGTTGATACTCGGCTGCATCACAGTTGGACACCGGTTACATCTGGATTCTGTATCTCCGACATTGGTGACCTATGGGCCTCGACATTTTGATCTTGTT